AACCCATCGAAGATATGTAGGTGAGGAGGGCTGAGTTGGTGGCCTTCTCCGCGGGACTTCACCTCCTGAGAGTACGTCGCCCCTGCGTCGTGGGCCGCTGTCACCTCGGGGAGGTCGGCGTTCAGGAAGTACGTGTTCACCCCCGCCGCCCAGAGGTCCCTGACCATCTGCGCCGTCACGAGCGTCTGCTGGACCAGCACGTTGATGAAGTTGGCCTGCGACTTCGTGAACCTTATGTCCTTGACCTTGCCGAGATGCTTGTTGTGCTGCTGCTTGCTGTTGATGCCGCTGGCCGCGGCTCCCGACGCTGCGCTGCCTGAACCTGGGCCTTCTCCGTTCGCAGCTGGTAGTGCGCCTTTGGCCTTGGCCACCACGGGAGCACCGCCGGCTTCGCCCGCCATTGGCGCCCTCTTTGGTAGGCGCCATTTGGGTACGGCTGTGGCCATGATGCCGATGAGGAAGGAAATGCAGATGCCTCTCAAAAACATGGTCTTGAAGCTGAGCCAAATCAGCGAAGGAGTCACACAGGTGTAGCGGGCACGATCGCTTAGGTTGCATCACGGGGTGGATCGCATGAGCTGAACATATCTCGCAATAGCCCCGACTATACGCACGTAAGTGATGAGCCTGGGCTGTCTTCTGGAGCGCGAAGCTGGTGCGGCACGCAGGGCACTGATTGGTAACAACACATTTGGCGTATAATGAAAACCGACCGTGTGACTCATCCTGGGTGTGCGCTTTGTGGGCCACGAGAGCGGCGCGAGTGAGGAACCTGTGCAGCACATATTGCTGTCGAAGGTCGTGCATTTGCAAGTGTAGATGCGTCCCTCGGGGCCCAAGGCGCCGCCACTGTTCTCCACAGTGTACTGCGGGCCCAGGTCAACCGTGTCCAGAGGGGTGTTTCCGTGTTACCAAATCTTACGCAGGGCGGGTACATCAGCATTGGCGAACAGGTGCGAAACAGACACCGTGAAAAAGAGCGTGTATATCTTCCCCCACGTGATTCCCCACTCCTCATAGTCAGTCACTAGCTCTAGCTTGTATACATCCGTGACGAAGCGAATGGCGAACGGGTTGGCGTGATGGCGACTGGCGAATGGCGAAGGCGAATGGCGAATGGCGAGCTGGCCGAACACGAGCGCGATGACCTGGGCGTGGGCCTGGGGCCACTTGCCGATTTCCTGGTACCACCTCAAACGCTGGATCAAGAGCTCCACTGCGGTCGGGACGATCATCATCCACTTCCAGACCTTCCTCGAGGTCCATGACTTGGCGTGATCTCCAGTTCGGTCACACATGACCCCCGCCGCGATGCACCTTATCTTCCCCAGCAGCGCGGCATCGAATTGGGCTTGTTGGGTTTCGGTGAGGAGATACGGAGTAAGCCCCCCAGACAGAAGCCCACCTTGAACCACAGATCTGAATACTAGCCTCTTCACCTTAAATGGGGCTCCCGAGGTCCACAGATATTCGAACGTAAGCCATCCCCTGTCGGCCGTTTGTTTGCCAACTCGCAGCTGGTGGGAAAACAGCTCCAGAGGGCAAACACTGCGGCCCTGGGTACCGCGTATGCGGGGCTATCGTGGCCCCTCCAACCTCAGCCGAGTATTGTGTTCTGCTTGTAGCCAAAACGATCAAGGGCATTGCCTAGTAGTCTTTGCGAAGCTTTTGCCGCCTGCACAGCTTCGTCGAGGGAACCCTCGCGAAGCAGCACAAATACGCCAGATCATCCACAGGCTTAAACAGACCAAACAGACCAGCCTGGACCTCCTGGCAACGAGGGCGGGATCGAAACTCTGCTCCATCCATTCTCCCAGGGGTCTGGCGAAGTCTTCGCGAAACTCGTCTGGGGCACTGGGGTCTCCCATTAAGGCCCCGCTCGTGAGATGCAGGGTGATGGGGCGATCAACACCGTCCAAATGCAAGAGGTGTGTGATGCGCCTGTCTTTGAGAAGGTCTGCGTCTGTCCACGGGAGAACATCCAGCAGACTCCGATTCATGCGAGCGTGATCGCAACAATCGAAAGCGTTCTTCATGTCATCGAACACAGTAATGTGCCACACACGTGCGTTGCGCAGCCGTGTGAGGAGAAGGAGGAGGAGAAGGAGGAGGAGGATGGTGATGATGATGGTGGTCGTGGTGGTTTTGGTGATGATGCTGCTGCTGATGATGCTGATGCTGATGCTGATGATGATTATGATGAAGATGAAGATAAGGCTGATGATGATGACGATGATGATGCTGATGCTGATGATGATTATGATGCTGCTGATGCTACTGCTGTTGATGACGATGATGATGCTGATGCTGATGCTGATGCTGATGCTGATGACTATGAGTATGATGATGACGATGATGATGCTGATGCTGATGCTGATGCTGATGCTGATGATTGTGAGTATGATGCTGGTTATGACGATGATGATGTTGATGATGATGATGATGCTGATTAGGATTGTAATTCTGATTATGGTGATGAGGACGGTTATTATTCCCCAGACAGTGCTTGCACTTCGGGTGTCTTACCCATGCCACTAAGGAATTGAATGGGTCCGGGGAGGGTTTCCGACGTTGTTGCCCGTGGTCGCCTCGTGCGCTGGGTGGGTCCGGCGATGTTCCGCCAAAGCTGCCGCCCGCGGCCGCCTCGTGGCCGCCTCGTGCGCTGGGTGGGTCCGGCGAGGTTTCGCCGCGTTGCCGCCTGTGGCTGGCCCCCGGACTCCAAGACAGCCGGGATCAGCTCCCCTCCGGACGGGGGGTAGCGCGTCTGCTTCCCGTCGACAGTCTGGGCAGCCGCCACGCCATCCGTGCGAGCCCTGGCTTGCCTGCGAGTGTCATGGACGCAGCGTGCGCAGGTGACCTACCAGTCCACGTAGATGAGGGCGCCAGTAGCGGGGTCGCGCGTTGCCACGTCGAGGGTGGCCTCCCCCCACGCGCCCGTGTCGGGGAGCTAGCGGTCCCAAGCAGAGACGCGCTGCTCAGTGGTTGCCCGGTGGCCAGTCTGAGCGCAGTGCCAAGGCGCACTCCAGTCTCGCAGGGAGTTGTGTCGGCACGTGATCCCTGCTGGCCCCGCACCCGCACCTTCTGGCGCAGCCCCTGGCCTCCAGCAGCTCCCCGCGCAGGGAGCCGTCCTGCTCGTGGTGCCGGCAGCGGGAGCCCCGGGCGCAGGCGTCGCAGCGGATGCGCACGCGCAGGTCCGCCGCGGAGTGGTCGTCTGGGAGGGGCGCGTCGCCCTCCTAGCACGGGCGGAGCCAGGAGCCGGGCCTCCGCCCCTGGGCGTCGGCCCCCGCGCAGAGCGAGTTGGCCGTCCTCGTCCAGCCTCGGGAGGAGCCGCGCCCTCCTGGCGGCGGAAGGCCCTTTTGTCCCTCGCTCCCCATCGATGCGATTCGCTTTGCGACTGCGGCCGATCCGATGCGAGTCGACTCCGACAGTCTGGCGATCAGGTGCGGCCCTATGCTTGCACGGCGCTGTTCGTCATCCTGGCGCAGCCAGTCCGATCCGACCCCGACTCCATGTCGATGCAGCCCGATCCGACGCACGTTCCGAGCCGATATTCTTTCACGATTCGATGTTGACTGATCCTGCCTTGCAGGGTCTTCGTCTCTCGCTCTCACTCTTTCTCCCTTTCTCTCTTTCTCTCTCTCTCTGTTTATCTCCCTCTCTCTCTCTCTCCTTCTTTTCCCAGTTTTTGTGTGTTCTCTCTCTCACACACACTCTCTCTCTCTCTCTTCCTCTATCTTCTCCCCTCAGCTCTATTAGCGAGTACTGCTCTCATCTCTCCTCTGGTTGCTTGCATTTGTTTCCTCGGTCCTCCCGCGATGGGCGGGTTCTCATTCTGAATCGAGCGCTACTGTTTTATCCTCCTTCGTTCCTCCATCCTTCCGCCTCCTGACGTGTCTCCTACCTCCTACTTGCCTCCTACCCTGCGTCCTACTTACTCCCGCTTACTCGTACTTGGTTCTTGGCCTGATGAGCTGACTCCGGCTTCGTGGCACCCGAATCGGGCCCAACAGTCTTTTGTCGAAGGAGATACAGACGTCAATTAAGGCGAGTGGATTAGCGACGGGCCCCTTCCACACGGCATCGACGCGCTCCGTCGCCAAGTCAGGCGGCACTGGCACCACGTTTCGGGGGGCGCTGTCCCCGATCCGTGGGCCCTGGTGCCCAAGCGCCAGATCCACGGGGCTCCCCAATCCATGCTTCAACGCGCGCCTGACGCAGAGAAGACCCTCCACGAGTTGCAGCCCGATCTTCTCTTGTGCGCGAGCGAGGGGCGCAAAAACGACGGCGACGGCGACGCCGATGGCATCAGCGCGGCCCAGACATCCGATATCTTGAGTTCCTCCATGTGGGGCCCACAGAGGTCTGGACCCTGTCCCCGGGGCGGGCTCTTCCTCCTGAGCTTTTCTTGACGGGCCTGGGGCCCGGCGAGGGCCCTCTGAGGCCCAAAGTGGCGAAAACCTTCTGCACTGGGCTTCTCTAGACGCTGGAGGCCTCGGTCCTCCTCCCCCTGCGCCGGCGGGACACGGCCGCCGCTGCTGGGGGCCCAAGCCGCCCGGCAGACGTGCGGAGCGCGGAGTCGCCAGCCGAGCGCTCGCCCCGCGGTGTCGCGGAGCTGCCGTCCGAGCGGTCGCATCGCGATGGCCCGCCCTGCCGGGCGGCCCCGGGCGCCATGCTCTGCTGGCCGGGCGGCGCGGGGCGGACCGGAGGCCGCGCGGGTCGCTCGGAGCTGCTTCGGCTCGTGACAGAACCACGACGGGAGGCCTTCGGGCATTTCTGGCCACTGGGGCTCGGGAGGAAGGACCGGTCCCGTGGAAGGGGTCGAGCCCGCCCAGGGGTCCACGTTGTGAACAACAGCGCGGCGTTGGGGGCTCCATGGAGGCTCGCCCCGTGTGCTGCGTGAGCTGCTGCCCGAGCGCGCACTTCTCTGGCCGGCCGGGCGCGCTCGCCTCGCGACGGCTGCATGCGCTGGCGCGCGCCGCGGCCGCCTCCACCGCGCCCAGGCCCGCGAGGCGAGGGTCGAGTGCGGGCTCTGGGAGCGCCAGGCCCTGCGGCCCGCGCCTCCGTGCTCCTCCGATTGTCCCCCTCCCTCCCAACCTCCCTCCCTCCTGCTTCTCGTCCTCCTCCTCCTCCTCTCTTTTTCGTCCTCCTCCTCTTTTTTGGCCCAGACCCTCCTTTTCTCCTCTCTCCTCCTCCTCCTCCTCCTCCTCCTCTTTCCTCCTTCTACTTCCTCTTCCTACCTCCTCCTGCTGCACCTCCTCCTCCTCCTTCTGCGACCTCCTCCTACGTCCTCCTCCTTGTCCTCCTCCCCCTCCTCCTCCTCCTCCTCCTCCTCCTCCTCCTCCTCCTCCTCCTCCTCCTCCTCCTTCTCGACCTCCTCCTACATCCTCCTCCTTGTCTCCTCCTCCCTCCTCCTCTCCTCCTCCTCCTCCTCCTCCTCCTCCTTCTGCGACCTCCTCCTACATCCTCCTCCTCCTCCTCCTCCTCCTCCTCCTCCTCCTCCTCCTCCTCCTCCTCCTCCTCCTCCTCCCCCTTCTCGTCCTCCTCCGCTAAGGACCCCAAGACCTGGTGGGCATCAGCAGGAGACATGCTGCCGCTTGGCGCGCCAGGGGGGTATTTCACAGGCCTGTTTGCGCCCAGATCGTGGGGATGTCTCAGGCGGTCAGCCTTTTTGCGTGCCCAACTTCCTTTGCTTCAGGAGCAGACTGTGAGGATGTCTCCGGCGAGGCGCTGGCTTCAGCACCCTCAGGGGTGCGCCAGGGGGGCATTTCATGGGCCCAGTTGCGCCCAGATTGCGGGGATGACTCGGGTGGTTTGCCCGTTTCGGCGCCATCGACTCCTCTGCTGTCAGATCAGATTGTGGGAACGTCGCGGGCGAGCCGCGGGCTTCAGCACCCCGAGGGGGGAGCCGCCAGACTGTGGGGAATTCCTCGGGCGGTCTGCCTACTTCGGCCCTCCCGGCTTGCCCTTTGGACTTGTGCTGCCTAGACGCATCCGGACCTCACTCACTCACTCACTCACCTCCCCCTCCTCTTCCTCACCCAGGCGCGTTCACACTCAGACTTTACTCATCAGCATCTCTATTCAGACTCACTCATCTCATTCTGACTCAGCCATACTCAGACTCACTCATACCCAGACTCACTCATATCTAGACCCACTCACATTCAGACTCGCTCACACTCAAGCTCACTCACACTCAGACTAAGTCACATTCGGATTTACTCACCCCCGGATTCGCCCACCCTCAGCTTCACTCATATTCAAAGACACTCTAACTCAGACTCACTCATATTTAGAATATATTGATCGTACGCGTACTCAGACTCATTCACACTCAGATCAATCACACTCAGACTCGCTCTCACTCCGACTCACCCATCCTCATATTCATTCATTTTCAGACTAACTCGTACTCAGATTCATCCATCGCCAGTCTCATGCTCATCAAGCTCATTCTCAGACCCATTCACACTCAGACTTTCTTATACTAAGACTCTCTCACACTCAGCCTCGATCATACTCAGACTTACACATGTTCAGACCCACTCGTACTCAGACGCCCTCATACCTAGGTTCACTCACTCTCAGATCATTCTCTCTCTCTCTCTCTCCGATCACTTTTCGTGGTCCAGTGCTCCTTCGCTCTTCCTCTTATGCCCAGAGAAGGAGGAGGAGGAGGAGGAGGAGGAGGAGGAGGAGGAGGAGGACGTCACTGAAGTCGTCGCCGTCGTCGTCGTCGTGGCTCCCGTCGTCGACGCCGATTCGCTCTCACACAGATGCTCACAGACAGAGTTCCCCAGCGAGTCGTGAGAGGAGTGTGATAAGCACCCGTGGATATCTCCGCGTCGGGTAATGCTCCCGCGTGGTTTCGGGCGTCGGCGCCCTCCCTTGGTCGTTGTCCTTCCGTCGTGGCCTTTCCCTGGCTCTCGCTTCGTTTCGCCCTTCGGGCCCTCCTTCGGTCCTCGCTCGTCGCTCTGCGACGCAGTGCAGAGGAGTCAGCGATGGACTCTGACTTTCGCCCAAATATCAAATGCCTCCCTCCCCCCTTCCCAGAGTCGATTTCGATCCGATCGATCCGATTCGGTATCGCCTCTGGCCAGCCCGATCCGATTCGATTCCGGTACTCCGAGGATTCGCTGCGACCCGATGATGCTGTTGTGCATCCTGGCCCAGTCGATTGGATTCGACCCCGGCTACGCGTTGGTGCAGCCTGATCCGACGAAGATTTCGATCCGACCCGATTTCCCGGTTCGAAGCTGACGGATCCTGCCCCCCGGCGTGCCTGGCCTGGGCGCGGCGCCCATGCCCGATCGGAGCCCCGGCTCGAGCGATCTGACCGCGCGGGCGGCTCGGCCGGTCTGCGGCCAGGGGGCAGCAGAGGGGGGATGCCCTCAGGATGTGGACGAGGTGGAGGGGGAGGAGGGAGGGAGGGAGGGACGGAGGGAGGGAGGGAGAGGAGGAGGACGAGGACGAGGACGAGGACGAGGAGGAGGAGGAGGAGGACCAGTGTAAGCCCAAGACTCATCAACGATATTGGAATTCACCCTCCCTCCGAGCTCCCTTTTGATAGGCCTTTCTAAAGTTTCATTTCCACTGCGGGAACTGCCTCATTGGGAGACAACCGTTTGAAGACCCCGATGCTTGCCAAAACACGATTCTCGGGATTCCAACGCCATGAATCAACATGATTGTTGCGTCTTGACGATCGGGAGCCGTGCCAGCCATTCCTGGGTCTTCAACGCCGCGAATCAACCTAACTGTTGCGCCCTCACAGTCCAGAGTCCTTCCAACACACCATGTCTGGCACGTTGACCATGGGAATCCGTGAAACTCTTGAACATGTTTAAGACGATTGTGCGCGGTGCTTAGGCGAGAGCCACATTTTGAAAAGGAGCAGCTTTCAATCCGTGAAGCTCTTGATTTTTTCAAGCGAAAGTGGGCGGCGCCAAGGCGAGAGCCACATTTTGAAAGCCGTCTGCCCTCAATTCGTGAATCTCTTGCATTTGTTCAAACGAATGTGCGCGGGGCTAAGGCGAGAGCAACATTTTGAAAACCATCCGCCCTCAATCCGTGAAATTCTTGCGCATGTTTTAAGCGAATGTGCGCGGCGCTGAGGCGAGAGTCACATATGTGAAACTGTTGCCAATGTGTGCTGTTAAGGGTCACAAATGGTGAGGAATTCTCAGGCGAAACGCCCGGCCCGCTGTTTCGACTGCCCTCGGGGCGCGACAGGGAGGAGTTAATTATTTAGAAGGAAAAGGAAAGGCAAGGAAAGGAAAGGAAAGAAAAGGGGGAGGAGGAGGAGGCAGAGGAGGAGGAGGAGGAGGAGGAGGAGGAGGAGGAGGAGGAGGAAGAGGAGGAGAAGGAGGAGGAGGAGGAGGGAGGAGGAGGAATGCGAGGATTGCGTGCGTGCGAGGCAGCAGCGAAACATTTAACTCGAAACGAGTTGCGACACCGAATTCGATGATGCAGCAGGCCCAACCCCTTCCTCCCCGCGGCCATCTTGGTGGGGTGGCGCGTGCGGCTGCGGGAGCTGGAGCCAGGCTGACTCTGCTGCATCACAGACAAGCTTGGGCGGGCCCCCAGGGTGGGGATACAGACCTTCTCTGATTCGCTTCAGGTTTTGCTGGCCCTTGAGGGAGGGGCGGCAGGGGCCAACGAGCTACCGCGGGTCCGAAGTGGACGCCTTGCCACACACCGTGCAAAAGGCGAGTCCCAACCTCCCCCCAAAGTTGAGGTTGTGCCGAGGGTCCAGCTTCTGTCCCCCGATCTCCTGGGGGCACTCTCAACGGAACAATGCCGTTGCCCTCTGGTCGAACAGAGCACAAATTGAGGGCAGCATTCTTGATGGTAGCCCTCGTCTCGGAACGAGAGCAGCACGGACAGAATAACTTCGGGTCGATTCTACGCCATTCGTGGGCCGAGGCTTTCAGGGCACGGGTGAGAGCAGGCACACGTTTGGCCTCAGGGCTTTCGGGACGCGACGCGATCCAGAGATCGGCTTGGATCGACTCCTCCAACGCTTTGCACGCCCGTCGGCGGATGAGGGCGGCCCGGGCATCCCTACGGTCGGTCTCCGGGCGGCACGTAGCCAGTGAGGAACAGTGGCCAATTACGGTGGGCCGCTCGGCCAGCCAACACATCCGCACACTTGTTGCCAACACCGCGGTGAACTTCACGCTCGCTGCTACAATCGATGTCCTCGGCCGTGACATGGAATGGCGTCCATTCGACACTTATCTCCGCCCCCTTCCCTTTGGAAATGCTAGAGATTCTGGTCCAAAGGTCACCGTTCGAAACGTGCGCACCGCACTTGCCTTGGGACCAGACCTTCAGAGTGGGGTGGTGGTCGGTGATATATCTTCATCGTCCGACCGTCCCCTCGAAGGCCGCTAAAAAAACGCCGCGAGCTTAGCGCGGCGAACCGATTGGGAGGGCCCAGGGATGGTGCTAGCGAAACCAGCGCACGGCTCCGAGTCAAAACCGTGGCCCCCGTGAGCGACGATGGCGGCCCTTGCTCTGCGACGACGCCGAGGGTCGTCCGAAAGCTCACCTCCCGAGCCGCCACTGAACACGTTCGGGAATCCTTCGACGTCGCGGGGGGCGGAGGCGAGACAGCCGAAGGAACCATGCCAGGCGGCTTCTCATCATCGAAGGTGGGGCAGGTAGGTGTCCGCGCGGTTTGGCACGCCGCGCAGCCACAACGAGGGACCCGCCTCGTGGCTGGTCTTCGCCTGCTCCGGCGGGCGTTATCGGAGTCCTCGTGACCACAGGTTTCTGGGCAGCACCATATTCTGTGATACCACGTCTTCTCTCCACTTTTTTGCACCTGTCAAGTCCGCCTCGCAGGCGGCAGCGCGAAGTCGGGATGGGGGCCACTGCCCTCCGGATGTGGCGACCGTCGTGAGGCATACGAGTCCATCCTCGCCAGCCTTGCTGAATCGGTCGATCTTCCTGCGAGCACTATGAAGGTCAGCTCCCACATGGAGGTCCTCACTAGTATCGTGCTTACTGGCTCGGGCCCACAGCTGCCGATCAATGGAGTCACTTACATCTTTCAGTGTTCTTTCAATGTGAGAGTGTCGTCGCCGCTCATCTCGTCGTACGCAGGGGCGCTCGCCGCTGGGATGAGCGACGTCTGGTTGGCGTCCGTGTTCCAGTGGGCGGCCGAGATGGGGTCCTGCCTCAACTCGAGTTGCGCGGCGATAGTGCGCCCCACTGGGCCCTTGACCATTCGCCACTTTCGTTGCCCAGCTCGACGTATAGGTGGCATGATGGTGTCCCATGCCTTCTGGATGTGCGAGTGCAGCCCGGGATTCTGCCCCCACAGGAAAAGCCAAGATGATATTTGTTGCCTGCGAAGTGACTTGGCAGCGTCGTTGCCCCCGACGCTAGTAGCGATCAGCGTGGTCAGGCATCGTCCTGATCAAGAGCCTGCAGCAGCGCGAGCAGCCAGGCGTCGAAGTCGCAACAACTCACATTGCGGCATGCCCTGCTGCTGGTGCGAGTGGGTGCCTTGCGGGTAGCTTCCAGTGTTCCATAATCCGTGGGCTACCTTGCGTGGTTAGGCTATCCTGTGTCATTTGACACTTGCTCCAGGACGACGAGAGGCCTTGCGCACAGGATCCCTGGCTTTGACATGAGTTCTCGCGCGACCAGCTGCGACATCTGCGCTCAAGTCCACAGACGTCCGCTCTGCCTTGACAGGTATACCTTGTCTGCGACCACCTTTGACAACCTCACGAGTGAATTTGACAGACATTGTAACCACCACAGCCTTGTCTGAGATAACCAGTTATGTTTCCTTTTCAATTTCTGCCCGAGAACCTCCCTGCACTGAGCAGGGTGGAAGGCGACTGACGTCATGGTCCCCTCCGCCCGAATGATTGTGTCGTCGATGCACGTCCTCATCATGATACTGCGCTCGTGAAGAGAGGAGGAGCAGGAGGAGGAGGAGGAGGAGGAGGAGGAGGAGGAGGAGGAGGAGGAGGATGAGGAGGAGGGAGAGATGGGATGAGGATGAGGAGGAGGAGGGAGGAGGAGGAGGAGGAGGAGAAGGAGGAGGAGGATGAGAGGAGGAGGATACTGATGTGATGAGAGCTGATGATGAGGATGAGAGAGGAGGAGGAGGAGGAGGAGGAGGAGGAGAGGAGGAGGAGGAGGAGGAGGAGGAGGAGGGAGGGAGGAGGAGGAGGAGGAGGTGGAGGAGGTGGAGGAGGAGGAGGAGGAGCAGGAGCAGGAGCAGGAGCAGGAGCAGGAGCAGGGGAAGGAGGAGAAGCAGGAGAAGCAGGAGAAGCAGGAGAAGCAGGAGACGCAGGAGAAGCAGGATGAGGAGGGAGTTCCCTCGCCAGGCCGCGGAGACCCGCGCAGAGCAGAGCGAGCTGCTGCGCGGCGGGCGGGAGGCGCTCGCGCTCGCGGCCCTCCTCGCCCAGCCCTGGGCGCCCCTCTGAGGCCCTCGTCGACGGTCGGCGGCGCGCAGAGCGGGCGGTCGGGGAGGGCCCCTCAGGGAGGGCCCCTGGGGAGGGGGGCTCTTAGGAAGGGCCCTCAGGAAAGGGCCCCCAGGGAGGGCCATCAGGGAGGGCCCTCAGGGAGGGCCCTTCGGGAGGACCCCTTCTGAGGGCCCCATGGAGACCCTTCGGGGGAGCCCCTAGGGAGGGCCCGAGGGAGGACCCGTAGGGAGGGCCCTATAGAGGACCCCTTAGGGGAGGACCCTCAGGCAGGGCCCCTAGCGAGGGCACTCAGGAAGAACCCGTAGGGAGGTGGAGGACCCTTGCGACGACTGCTGGAAGAAGGAATGTTTCGCACTGGAGCGCGGGGGCGCGTCAAGGAGGAGGAGTTTGGAGTGGGGGTTGGGGGTTGGCGGGCGCTTTTGTCGGCTCTCGGCGGTTGTCCAGCCTCGGGATGCGTTCCAGCAGCCGCGCCTCGCCGAGAGCGCTCTGGGGGTACCTGGGGGAGGGATCGGCTCATGGGCAACGTTAGGGGGATAGGCGGAGGGGCAACGTCAGGGGGGGCAGGCTCAGTAGCAGCGCTCTCTTCAGGGGCAACGTTAGGGGGGATTGGCTCCGGGTTGGGGGGGGTGAAGCTTCGAGGTTGGATGGTTCTCGGCGGCTTTCCAGCCTAGGGATGCGTCCCAGCAGCCGCGACTCGCCAGGAGCGCTCTGGAGATGCCTGGATCGTCCCGAACGGCCGCCAGAGACCCGACTTATGATTTGAAAGCCAGGCGACGAGGACCATTCGGAGGGGGCCAGGCCTTCTGAGCAGGCGGCGGGGCTTCTCAGAGGCCCTCGCGCCTTCGGAGAGGCCCTGTGTGCAGAAGGCGCAGAGAGCTGCCCAGAGGGCCTGCACCCTCTGCCTTCTCCCCCGGGCACGCGTCCGACCTCCGGCGACGACCAGGAAGACGACGCTTGAGAGAAAAACAGCACGGAGTTTCTCGAGACGTTATAGGTCGGGGCATGTCCGTCTCCGCGGTCTCCTCCTCCACCTCCTCCTCCTCCTCCGCC